CGGCCGCGGAAATAGCGCCGTGCGGGGTGTGGCGGTGCATTCCCCGGGGGATATTCCTCCGTCCCGTGCCCTTCCGTGCTCTCCCGCTGCTGGCAGCAGCTCTAGCCCCGAAGTGGTGGGTCCCCGTCCCCCACCGGTGACCGGGGTGCCCTACCTGGGTGGGGGGGTGTCCGTGACTTCTGGTGGCCGTTCGGGGGGTTCCCACTGACAGATCGCAGTGTGCAGTGGTGGGGTCGCACCACCCACGAGCTGCCCCATCTGGTGGGTGCCCTCGGGGGTCCCTGCTGAGCTCCATTACAAAGAGGCTCCCTGTTCACCCCTTTGTCCCCCCAGGCTGGGGGAGCTCCAACGCTGCCCCAACAGGGCTGTCGGGGGATTCACAGGCACCACATCCCACATAATCCTTTCAGTCCCACCCTGCCAGAAGATGCCACCATCCTTGCCTGCCACCATCAACATCCGTGAGCCCCGATGGGACCAGAGCACCTTTCAGGGCCGGGCCAAGCACTTTTTCATGGTGACAGACCCCCGAAACCTGCTGCTCTCGGGGGCCACACTGGAGGAAGCCCGACGGGTGGTGGAGGACTACAGGTACCCGGGGAGAGGGTGGGTGTACCCTCGGCACTGCTCCTGGGCAGGATACAACCTTGGGGCCATCCCCAGAGGTGGGAATGAAAGCTATAATGACCGTCCCCCCAGCCAAAGCCAGCCCCCCAAACTGCCTGGCTGCTCCCTAAGGTTGTGGGGGACCAAGTAGGGCACGTATGCTGGCAGAGGGTCTTTCAACAGGTACTACCCTTACCTGGCAGGGCGGGCACAGTACCCCCAGGGCTGACAGAGGATCAGCTTTGGCGGGCAAAGTACATCTACGATTCAGCTTTCCACCCTGACACGGGTGAGAAGATGCTCCTTGTGGGACGCATGTCTGCTCAGGTCCCCATGAACATGACCATCACCGGTTGCATGTTGACCTTCTACAGGTACCCGTCCCTTCCTCACCCCAGGGCCAGGAGGATGCCCCTCCCAGGCCCTGGGGTGAGGAGGGGACACATGTCCCACACCCCACGGTGCACTAGTGCTGTAGGAGCACAGGTGGCATCCCCCAGTGCCACCAACACCCTTCTCTCTCTGGCAGGACCACACCGGCTGTGCTGTTCTGGCAGTGGGTCAACCAGTCCTTCAATGCCGTTGTCAACTACACCAACCGCAGTGGGGATGCACCCATTACCCCCAGGTAAGCATCCCTCTGACCAGGTTCTTGGGATACCCCAAAATGCCAGGGATGTGCCTTGAACAGTTCCTTGAATAGCAGGGAGCTCTGAGAGAGGATGATGGGGACCTGGCACAGCCAGAGTTGGACACCAGTGGGGCTGTCAGAGTTAGTGGTAGAGCTGGGAAAGGAACTCAGGTTTCCTGGTGCTCTTGAAGGGCATGCTGTCCCCTTTGGAGGGGGAACTGGGATGAGGGGATCCTGGCTTATGGGTGTCACTTCCTGCTCTTGCAGCCAGCTGGGGACAGCCTATGTGAGTGCGACCACGGGGGCAGTTGTCACAGCACTGGGGCTCAAATCTCTCACCAAGGTAAGGTGACCCTTGGCCATCATGGGTGGGGCACCTGGACCCTTCCCATGGGATCTCCCTGAGCTCTGAGCTGATCAGCAGATTCACCCCATCACCTGGGGTGGGGAAGAAGATGGAGAAAAGGGCCTTGATGGGGTCACCCACGCAAGACAACTGCTCTCCTGAGTGAAGGCTGTGGAGATGGCCTGTCCCTCCAGCCTTGCTCCAGTTGCATCTCTCCAGGCTTCTTTCACCAGTCAGCCTCTGTCCAGGCCTGGGGTGGGATGTGGGACCCCCCCACACCCTTTGGGCTGTGCAGCTTTTACTGGCTGGGAGTTCCAGGGGAGGAGGGAATGTTTTTCTCCGGTGGGGCTGGGACACCACAGGGTCTTCCAGGAGGATGGTTGCAGACCTGGGAACAGCCAGCTCTGCCCCCAGACCCTCTGCATTACATCCTCCTGCTTTTCCCCCCAGCACTTGCCAGCCATCATCGGCCGGTACGTGCCTTTTGCGGCTGTGGCAGCTGCCAACTGCATCAACATCCCACTAATGAGGCAGAGGTGAGCCCCTGGGCTGGGCTGGGGTGCTTGGGGTCATGTCAGGGTACTGGCAGGGAACTCAGGGACTTCCCTTGCTGGCCCTGCTCTCATCCCTTAGCCTGGGGGGTTGGCTTGAGGGTACAAACACCTGGTTGCATCCCCATACAGCCCTCTTGAGGACCACTCCCAAGTGTGAATGTGAGTCCAGCTGAGATCCCCCGCAGTTTATTATGCAGGCAGTGGATGGAGATACAGGAGGATGCCAGCTTCCCTTGGAGACATGCACCTGCCTTGTCTCCTGATCCCCCCACCCTTGTGCCCTGGGGCCCCTTCACTGCCTCTCTCCCTGCAGAGAGCTCAAGCTGGGGATCCCAGTCACAGATGAGAATGGGAACCGCCTAGGAGAATCCACAGCTGCAGCCCAGAAGGCCATTTTCC